AGTGCAGAAACACATTACTTACCAGTCTCTCATTCAATTCTTCTTCTTTCTGTTTGAGCTCTGAACTCAGGGCAGAATTATTTTTCTCCTTCTCTGTCAGTGCATCTTTGACACGTTCAAGTTCTTTGAGCAGGCGTATTTGCTCCAGTGTAAGTTCTTCTTGAATCTTTTGACGTTCCCATTCAGCCTTCCGTTGTTGCTCTTCTTTTACTCTTATCTCATTCTCCTTTGCCTCCACCTATTTGGATGGAGAATGGTTGAATTATAGGCAATGGAGGGGAGGGAGTGAAAGTTTGATTTTTTGCCATTTTCTGACCATATACACCATAGTTAACTTTGTATTTTGTATAACGAAAAGTTTGCTGACTGACTTCACTATAAATTCACCACACACGCAATAAATGCTACAGTAATTTTTACTTGTTGCTGTAGTTCTTCCTTGTGTTCCTCTGTGACCTGCAAACGTTCCTGAAGTTTTTTTCGCTCTTCCTGCATCTGTCTTTCCAAATTAGCATTCTCTTCTTCTAATCGATGAAGAACTGCTTCCTGCAATCAGAATGAAAAGAATGCACTGATGAATAAGGAAAAACCTGACAATGTAACCATGACAAAGAACACATAGTAATCAATAATGAACATTTCTGTCCCTTGGTGCATGCCAAGCAGCTCAATGAAAACACGATTTAAAGTACCTTCTCTTGAAGTATTCGCATGCGTTGCTCCTCTTCCTTCCTAACATTCTCTTCCAAGGTTTTCCGTTCCTCCTCCAATCTGTTCTGAAGTTCTGACACCTGGTGAAAGATGGAAAGACATCAGCTCACTTGCTACACAGATATGAGCTGCAGTTAAATTATGTCTAGATAGTGCTATCCCAAATGAACAGAGTTGAGGACAATTTTTCAGTATGAAAAATAAATGAATAAATAAATAATAAATATCCTGATTAAATAGTCTGTTCATTTAAGTCTGAGAGCTGGGTGAACACAAATCTTGGCTGTGACTGTTGGATGCACACGAGTAAGAGTTGTGATTGGAGTGTGTAGTCACTTCAGTTTGTTTGCCAAAAAGCAATGACTAACTTTTGCGGGCTGCATGCCACTAGAAGCTTGTGACCTAAGTAGTGACAGCTTTAATAATGATGATGATAATGTCAATACTGCCGATAAGGATAATGATAAGCATGATAAAAATAATGATAATAGTAATGATAATTACAAAAATAACAATAACGTTTTACTTTTAACTGTTATCATTATTACCATTATCATTTCATACTATCATTATCATTAACATTGATGACGATGATGATGGATGATGATAAGAAGGAGGAAGGTCATGACAGCAATAGTAATAATCATTATCTAATTCATCATGATCACAATCATGATGATCAGCATGATGACCATAATATTCTTACTGCTGTTATTACAACTATCATCAACACTATTATTGTTGTTATCATTAACATCATCATTATTATTCTTCAGACAGGGGAGAACATTTTATTGTTCTAGGTAACAGCTCAAACTTCCTAATTAAGAAAAAAGTGTAATCAAAGTTTCATAATCAATGAGCCAAGACTTTAATAGTGTACCAAAATGTTTTGGAAAGAACGTAGTGAAAGAACGAGGATTGAATCTAATTCTATCCCTTATCAAGCTGAGTTCTTAGTCGCTAAAAGATGAGCATTCCTTCATGATGGCCCTATCACGAGTCACTTATAGGGCTGTTGCTCATACTTATACCATATAAGTAAATATTGCATTTCTTTTTTCAATTATTATCAAGATCATCATCATATATGTTGTGATTACTAATATTATTATTACCATTATCATCAGTAATAGTAGTGGTTGTGGTAGTGGCTTTTAATCATGTAATTATTTCCTTTCTTTTTCTGGGTGAGAAGGCCTGGCACATCTCCCACTGAATTTAATGTTTGGGTGTTTCACTCCAGTTTCCAGCATTTTATTGTCTTCTAATATTTTACTTAGTCAAAAAAATTGAAATATGAGATAAAATGACCTTTTAGGAATGATGCTTACTTGATATTGCATATTCCAAAATACAGCAAGCAATGGAAAAAGAATAAATATAGAAATAACAAACTTTTAAGCCAAACACCCATGTAATGTGCTTGTGCCAGATGTAAGCAGTACAAATGCTAATAATTTATGAAGGAACAAGAAATTATATAATTGTTTCTTTGTTCTGTAAAGTATAAAGAAGTCATTTATCATTTTATAAATCTTAATAATCAACTATGATTTTCTTTAAAAACTTTTTTTGTGTGTATAATTTTTACTTATCTAGCAATGGAAATTGTTCTATATCTAAACTTCATATTCTTGGTTAAAAAATTAATTACATTAATATATACCTGTAAAAATATGAACAGTATTTTTACCAAGCCTTGTTTCAAACATTCCTAGGCTCCAGCTATCAAAATCGAATGAACAAAATATATAACCCTTACTATAGTCAACTTTCATTAGAAAAACAAGCCTGTTTGCTCTCAGTAATCAAATTTAGAGAGAGGAAAAGTGAGATACAGATACAGAGATTCAGATAAACTTTCATATACAGAGAGACACTTGGGACACCTTAGACAGAGAGCCAGACCGGCATCTCATGCCCGTCAGCTAATCACCACTTGCTGTGGTGCTAGACAGCTCAAAGTGATTGGCTGACAGGCACAAGGTGCCACTCTGGCTCTACACCTAAGGTGTCCCATGTGTATCTGACTATGACAATAGTGTCAGAAATATAGAGTGATTGAGAATGATATTGAGATAGAGATATAAAGTCTGAGTTAAATAAAGAGGAGGAGTAGAGGAAGAGGAGTAGGAGGAGAGGTAACAATGGTATTAACATTCAAAATAGTAGCAAGAGTAGCAGTCCTATATACAGGAGGATGAAAAAAACCAAACACTAGAGTTTTACCTGATCCTTTAGACGTTGTGCAAGTGCCTCTTTCTCCTGTAACATCACCTGTTGTTGCACAGAACCAGCAGAGAACTGCTTTTCCAAAGCTTCCTTCTCCTGCTGATACCTAAGATGGAAAAAAATCTTAATGCTATTTTATTATAATAAGGGTTACCTTAGGCAAAATTTTATTAAACAAATAAACACAGTTTCAAAAACTGGCTAGAAACCAGTAACACAAGTGTTATAAGCATGCCTCATTAGTTTCATTGCATGAGCCCAGTTCATTCCATATTTCAAATAAGGGTCATCCCATGTCATATTATCCAGTACTTGTAACCACAAAGCTTTGGATTTCATATTTGGTACTTCTATGGTCACCACAGAGGTTAAACTAATGCTAAACTTTCAGCTTGACATCTTTTACTGTTTCGAAAATACATCCATTTAAATTTTACGCTGAATCCGCAATTTAACCAAAGAAAGGGTGTGGTGTGCATTTTTATGTAATAGTTTGAAAACATTTAAGGATATATGGCTGAAATGTTATAAGGAACCATTTCAATGCCTGCTGAATTAACATATTATGCTTAAAAAGTTGTCAGATACACAAAGAATATTTGTTTCCTTATTTGATTAAAATTTCATCAGTTGTATATGAAGGCACAAGGAACTACATGCATTTGAAAATCTAATTTCAATAGAAAATGAGTACTGAATCACCTATGGTCTTTCATGAAAAGTGATCTCTTTTCTATAAATCATTAGTTCGTCTCTTGCCACTTAGAAAAAAGAAGTTATTTTAATACAGCTGATATTTATTCAGTCAAATTCCTATTAATATTGAGTAAAGAAGAGATATGATATAGACTTATACATATTACTTTTTCATCTCATCAAATACATTGTTGGTTACTTATGTTCTATAACCAGCCAGAGGTTGTAATAGGAGGTTGTATTTTGCAACATTTTTCATAATCCCTTACAAATAGAAGTATATACAATAACTACTAATAAATATACCTAAATGAAGATAATAATGTGAGGTTACACAAGATCTCTAGAATCAGGTAAACTAACTGCTGCTTATTCTTTTTACTTATCCTCGTATACTTAGATTATTCTACATACATAGTTCTACATACTTTAGATAATCAACAATTATCCACTATACAGACAAATTACTACCAATAGGAAAATTTTAATACTATAGCATGTTCAAGTCACTTCAATACAACTCGACCATCAAAAAATCATCAACTGATGCCTTACCATCCTGTACACAAGACATAACTGCACAACTATAACATTCCCACATTTGGACAGAAGGCATGGTACAATCCCAGTTAGGTGTGAACCTGCAGTGTGGTCTGGAATTATATCAGTACAGTAAAACTCGTTTCCTGATTACTCGACTGTTTCAATTTATATCATCCGTTTCTCCATCTTGTAAATACATACAGTAAAAGTAATTTCTTTGACAGTATTTCTTATTACAGTAATTTTCCTTTTCCACCTGTGGACAAAATATTTCTTCCATACTTGTTAAGTCTGGGACCTAAATGATAGAAAATATTACCTTAAATTCGTTTCAAACAGTCTATATTCCATATAATATAAATCAATACAAGTCAAAATGGATACAAAATTTGCCACCATAAACTTATGAAATTTATCAGCCATGAGCATAAAATATTAGTGACTTCCATAGCTTTCCTTTTGTGATTTCCATATGTATTTTCACATAGTAAACCTTTATTGAATTCATTTGCAAAATACCACCTCCTATACTTATATTGTATACCTCTCGACGGGCATACAACATACGTAACATGGATTTAAACAAAAACAGCAATGTATTTGATGAGAAGATAAACTAATATTTATAAGTACAAATTATATATCCTTATTAGTCAATATGAATAGAAATTGTTTGTGATTAAATATCAGCTGTATTAAAAGTTTTTTTTTTTCTAAGTGGCAAGAAAAGTACTAATGATCATAAATTAGAGATCACTTTTCATCAAAGACAATGTGTGATTCATTACTCATTTTCAATTGAAATAAATTTTGATTTACAAACACATGTAGTTCCTTGTACCTTCATACATAATTGATAAAATGTGAATCATATATGGAAGCAAGTATTCTCCTTCAAGGGGTGCATGATATTCCTTCATATCAATTTAGCCCCACCCTGAAATTTGACTAGATGTATGTCAAAATCGAACTTTTAAATGACATAAATGAAGACTAAATTGTGGTGATTTCTATGTATCTGATGACTTTTTAATATGATCTTTTAATTCTATAGGCATTAAAATGGATTCCTGTGAAATTTCAGGCAAATATCTTTAATAATTTTCTGACTATCTAACAAATGATTTCCAGTAAAATTTCAAGTATATATCTTCAATAGATTTCAAACTATCTAAAAAGAAATGCATGCTGAAGTGCACTCCGCACCCATTTATTGAGAAATTTGTTGACTCATGAAAGCATGAAAGTGATATTTTAGATTTTTCCTGATATCTTTGGCATCTATTAAAAAAAAGGCATAGTAGTTACAAATTCTCTTTTTGCTTGATGATTTGCTATAAAATTATCCATACATTTTGACACCTAATGGTTCCATTTGTATGTCTTCACTTTAGACACTGGAGTGTATAAGTTCCTTTCAACAAGCCAATGGCATTGAGTATGACATTATGTGGTGTCATCTGTGACATACTATAGCCCATGTGTGTTTAATCAGATAATATTTTTCTTTCTTTCTTTCTTTCTAAATAAATAAACAATCAACTATGAAGAGAAAGAAATGAAATGAAAGGAGTAAAGATGGGGAAAAAAAATTAAAGTAAATACATTACTGTACACCTCCCCTAAACTAAACCATAGTTGCAAAAAACTGATGCTGCTATATTATATCAAGTAACCAGATATCATCATGGAACTATGGTAGCAGCAAGCTAGTTACTTCAGAGCTGGATAGATTTTAGAAATTGCAGATACTTTAGCTCCTAAATCATACTTAATAGGTGGTCACACAAGCATTTTTTCCATAAGTCAGTGGTAACTTCAACTTTTGCACTTCCCTCATCTACTATTTGGTCAGAAGTAAAAGCAGATAATATGCATCATTCAGATATCTGCAAAGTAGGCATGGCAAGAGGGTCTGTTTTCTGATTTGACAAGAATGCTCAACTTCACTAATAATGATAATAAATATGGATTTCAATTAACATAACTGTCAAATAGATATTGCATTTTATATCCTTATATTTTTTGAATGTTTAATATTTTTACACAGAAATCCATTTGAAAGTATCTGTTACATCAAATGACTACAGTTCCTTGGCCCGCTATCCACTAACTTCGGGGTAAATCTACAGTTAACTTCACACTGATACCAGAATGAAGTTCTTACGCCAGATTTCAATACATATTTTTACTATTCTTCCTCTGAAATCACAAACGAACCCATGTACGTTGTTTTAGTAATCTCTGAGCCTCCATTTCTAAAGCAGATAAAAAAAAGCTGCAAGGAGGGCCAAACAGGCAACCATACATGCCACATTTCATGCTGAAATCAAGCAGATAGAAGATGGTTCCATTTGCCCAATGTGACCATCAAGTTGGGAAATCACCCACAGGACAACAATGAATGGGAAATCGCCCACAGGGTAACAATGAATGGGATATTGCCCACAGGGTAACAATGAATGGCAAATCGTATCACATAATACAAAGTCATTGATATAAAATTAATAATTTGGAAATCCATGATAAGAAAGACAGTCCAGTATTTGCTCCTCCCATCATACCTGAAATAATTGAGAAAAAAAAGGAAAATAAAAAACAGGATGGACAGAAAATTAAATTTCATAGCTAATAAGCAATGACTTTGTACACGGTATGTAAATTCTTGATATTTCGTGTAACCAATTCAACATAAGGCAAAGAAAAGATTATGGAATTTAGAATAAGCACAACACCATGCATTTCATCCCATGCTTTATATCTATATATAAAAATAAAACTGCTTACTTTTGCTGCAGATCATCTTTTTGGCTCTGCAGAGACAGAAGGAGCTCATCCCGCTCTGTCTGTAGCCTTTGCTGGACTGCATCACTCTTTTTCAGCTGTTCCTCCAATGCCTCACGTTCTAGGTTCAAGTTATTTGCAAGGGCACTTTTTCTGCATGTTTTGCCCAGAGAAGAAAAATTAGTTAACTATCATCTTTCCACATTTTCTTTTCTTGCAGCAATATAAGAATAGAGAAAAGGGACGAAACCAAAAGATCTACAAATTAATACATAGATTAAAGAAAAACATTACAGAAAATATCATAACACACCATATAATTTCAATGACATTTGCATAGATGTTAGTAATACAACTATATTTCTATGACTTATATAATAATAAATAATACAGATGATGTGAGCAGTAAACTGACCACAGTACTTAATTTCTTTTCACCATTTGTTGCCTTGGGTAAGCTACAGGCAAAACATCTAAGAACCAAAAATAAGATAATGAACTGACCTGTCATCCTCTGACTTCATCCTTTTTATGTCTGGTTGCTGAGAAGAGGAACTTCCTGCTCTACTGGGTATTTCCTTCAGCCCAAAGCGGTAGACAAAGGTTGCTGGCTGACCAAACTGTATTATGTCACCCACATTGATTGCATGCTGCTCTGCTTTTGGTATGGAATTTCCATTGACAAACACTCCATTAAGACTCTTCAAAATAAAAAATGGGAAAGAAAATGAATGAAGTACATTGCTGACAAACTCCTAGTGAAATCAATACCCAGCAACCTGTCCATTACACATTCTCATGACACAACTTGCACTTAGAACTTACAAGGTTGCTGACAGTCCACTGATCACTCTCTCGCTTAAATACTGCATGTCTGCGGGATATGAGCTGGTGTGGGATGACGTGAGTAGCTTCAATTGATCTACCAATCAAAACCTGAAGACAGAGAATAAGCAGACTGATATATTGTTTAAGACTTGTTAGTAAATATTATTCTTTGGATTACATTCATATAATCAATAAGTCTTGAGATTCTTAATGATAATGATAATAATAAAACTGAATGAAATAATGAACATGCTGTCCAGTTATATGAGGTGCGACTAGACTATTTTTTTCTATCATCCTTAGGTTCTGAATAGGCTACAGGTAGTGTCAACCAGGGCAATTTGGACAAGTTTTGGTCAAACTTTAGTCTAGTTTCCATAAAAATGGGTGAATAAAAAAATTTATTCAACATTAGTGGGTCATTACATATGCAACATTAGAGATTCAACTAATTTCAATGGAGATTTTCTGAATGGCAAATCTGAACAAACATGAAAAACACATGTAGTATATTTATTTTCAAAAGTTAGACTAGCCTACATATTCAAACAGAATCCCCTATCTTGTTTGTTTTGTTCTTCTCTTTCTCACTCTCGAACTCCCCTTGTCAATCTCACTGTTGGACACTGCAGATAAGAGTGTAACAGAGGAAAGTCTTTATATCCTCCTCAACAAATTCTTTTTTCTGCATCACTTCCTTTATGGTTTTTTTTTCTCTCTCACCATCTCCCAATCACTTATGCTGTTGGAAAGTGGGCCTTCTTCCTCTATGTCATTTCCAATCTTCTCTTCATGTTCATGTCGCTTAAATCACAGGGCCTTCTGTCTCTTCCTTATTTCCATTTCTTCTATTCTAATTTTTTCATAAATTCATCAGTCTTCATTCTGTATTATCTTCCCTATTTCCTCTTCTTTTATTTTACTTTCTTTCATAAATGCATCACGCATTATGACCCTTACTTCTGGAACTAATCTCCTTCTAACACTCAACTTTCTAGACTTAAACACTAACCCAGGAAATATAACATAACAATGCAATTTTTTTTTTATGTTGATGGGATTGCATTACCAAGTAGAGGAGTTAGTAGGTGTTGATGGGTTTTCAAAACACAGGATGAATCTACTGTATTGTCCTTATTTAGAGTGCTTGGTTCTTGTGATGATGCGGGCAAGGGCTCTTTTGTATCTGTAGTTATCTGATGAATGCTGTTGTGTCACATGCAGTGGGATCTAGTGGGTATCAGAACTTTCCTGCTTTATAAACACATACAGAGGTATTTTGGTCATGAAGACATTCTCCCAAGTTTTGGAATTATTATGTGGAATCTAATGGAAGTTTGTATTTGACCTGGGTATTTTTTGTCACCATAGTAAATTCAGACCAAAACTGAATTCTGAATATGAATGAAGGAAACTCAGTTGAGAATTTCTGACTTTTCCATATAAAACAATCTATGATGGATATGTGTACTGTCCACTGCAAATTTTGTTTTATTCATTTAAATTATACCCATCACTCAGATGATCGCCTGGTGTATCTTTTGGCACTGCTCGAGGGGAGGGTTGATGGAGGACTTTGCCCCCCAACACCACCATGGGAACACTGTCTTCAGCTCACTATGCACGGCAAGATAGAGCTGAAAGTCAGAAGCCCAAATGGACTTAAGCTGAGAGTAGCGCTTTCCGCAATCTTTTTATTTGTGACATTACCATTCATGTCTGCAGATTATTTTTTGTAATGATTACTGCAACTTTTTATATTCTACATACCATATTCAATTTACCCTAACTTAGTATATCCATACCGTAAATTTTAACCAATTTGAGGAAAAGAGCTTCATATACTGAAATTTACTTTGACTTAAATACATGTCACAACACATTTTGCTAAATCAACTGAATCGTTCAACATGTTTGCCCAGAACTTATATCACTTACATTTTCATTATTTACAATTTCAGTTCTGTTGCATAACAGTTCTGATGCATATCAATTTTTGCCTTTTTAATCACACTAGAAAAATTTCAATATTTGCTATACATTATTGGATATTCATAGATACTTTTTTTTTTTTAAGAGATATATACATCCAAATTAGACCAGTTTATTTAAGTCTCATTTACCCGTCAAAACTATGGAATCAAAAAGTTTTAAAAATCAACTAAAAATGACAGTTATTTACACTAGAATTATAGTAACTAAAACAGCTGGACTGACCATCACTCTTAACTGATAAATAGTTTGTTTTTGTCTTATCTCAGAGAAGAGCTACTTATCAAGAAAAACAATGCCTGGGCATTCAATTTGTCTAGAGACAATGACCAATGAATACAATCATTAAAGTAAGAGTCCAGTCATATACAAGGATAATTATTGGTTGCATGATATTCAGGGGGTTTCATAAAGTTCAACTGTTCAAGGTAGTTCAAAATGTGTTATCCCAAATATGCCAGGTATTGGCTGGGTATTACATCAGATGTTGACAGTAATGTTTAAGGGGACCGTCCCTGATGGAGAGGGGGGGGGGGTTAAATTGAGTTAGTTAGCGTATAGTATAGGTACATGGATGAGGAAACTACCAAACGAGAATTAAGCGCCTGCTATGGCTCATTGTCTTACAGCCGGCACGCGAGTCCCTCAGCACCCGGAGAGGTACATCGCTAACAAGCACCCAGGTATACCTATGTGGACTTTTGCTTGCGGCAATCGTGCATAAGGCATTTAATTATGACATTGCACATAGATATGTGTTCGTGAATGTTCAAGGAACACTTATATACCAATATCAGGAAAAAATTGTATCACCGTGATTTATGACGAAATATTTTGTGAAATCTATCTAAAAAAAAAATGGAAGTTTTGTGTCCTTTTACACACGAAATATGCTTCGATCGAGACTCCCTGGTAATGTGCTTTAGTTTACGAGGTAATATATACGTATATCACATACGAAGCACTAATGCTTAAAAATAGCCTTATAAGGCAGGATTGAAATATTTCCGTTACATTTCGCTCAACGGTCAGTACATCACAGCAGGGGGCAATTTGAATTGATTTGAAATTGGTAGCTACCGTTGTAAAGACCAATTCAATACGAATGTTACCTAAATGTCAGACTTTTAAACTTCGGATGTATAAGCGAGATACAGATTATTTCATGTTGAAGATGATAGTACTCAGTAATACCTGCTCTGAAATAAAAACTATATGGAATTTTGAGCTCGGTTGTATGCGTAGCCTTCGCCTGGCGTTCAAAAAGCTATCGCATCTGTTTTGTGCGTTCCCGATAAAAATGAATATGTTTAGACGTTACCGTAAGTCTTAGGCACCATAAATTGGCAAATATCCCACAGCACCTTGGCGTCTGCATGATTTTATGCACTTCTTAGTAAAGATAATGGGTGCAAATGGCTAATCATAAACTATACACTTGTTCTCCTTTGCAATCTGTTAATATTGACAATTATCAAAGAAAATGGTATGAGAGGGATAACTAATATATTTTATTATTTAGATATGAAAGTTAATGTAGGCCTACTAAATGATGATGAATAATCTTTTTAACTTTATGTGCGTGCGTTCACGTACATATGATCCTCCTCGAAAATTATAAACACCCAGTGACCATCTGTGTGAGGCATGGGAAATATTCAACGACTTTCGTACGTTCTCGAATTCAATGTACTAAATTCATATGCTTTTAAAATTCTCAAAATTGAACCACCATGTTGTATTCATGCCAGGACTTTATAATTAGAATGATTTTGTACTAATGTTGCCATCCACAGTTCCCCATTTCTTCAAAAAAAAAAAAAATAATAAAAATAAATAAATAAAAAATAAAAAAAAAAAAAAAAGGTTTTTATCTGGTTTAGATTAGTTGTCTCTATGGTAAAATGCATTTATTAAGCTTTTCACACGAAAATATCAACTTTTATGAACAACGAAAAAAAAAAAAAAAAATTACATGCCTTTACAGAATAGCATCCCTATTGAAAATGAAAATTTCTATTGACTTGTTAATCATTGCATTGCAAAGTACACTTAACAAGCATTTTTTTTATATATAATATCATTAGATTCAGAGAAAAATAACAGAGATAACGAACTTTGGCAAGGGGCCAAATACAAAACTGTGTAGCTCCGTTGTTTTTTTATGAATCTTCGGTACATCCCAACTCACGTAATTTTCATGTGATTCAAATGCAGTTGGTTGCTTTCACTAGAGCCTCCGCGTCCCAAGGCCATGTAAAAGGCCGATTTTTGAATTTTTGCCTTAATAAAAAAATAATATTTTAATGCTGAAAAAAAAAAAAAATCAAAAATAGTTCTCTATGTCAAGCTGTCCCCCGCTAAAAAAAAAAAAAAAAAGGAAATTCAAATTCGGCCTTTTACATTGCTATAGGCTAGGGTTAATCTAACACAAGTATTTTGGGGGGAATATTCAGTAAAGAACTGTGATAGTTGGGATGTACCGAAGACATACCAAAAAGAACAGCAATTTTTTTCGACTTTATGGGGGGTGCCCCCCCCAATGGAGGAGCAAAGTTAAAATTTATATATATAACGGAGTGCAATTCTTTACTCTATATCATGCAAAAAGAATCAATCAGTTATCTCTAACCGATATTTTTTTATGATGTAAAGAGTAGGGAAAGGTGGCCATTTTCCAGGACAGTCCCCTTAAGGCTAAATGCTATGAGGAAGCACATGAGGTTTGCATGGCTATGAAGCACTTTATAACATCTATAGATGTATTGTTACATAGTATGCTGGTCCACCAGCATGTGAGACATTCAGCCTCAATGGATTAAAGTTGGAGATATGTACTATTTGTTGTACTGGTTAAGATATGGCTCTTACATCATTGGTGCATCTTGGAAGTTATCATTAAATAAGGAACTAGTTCTCTCTGGAGATTCTATACGTCAGGGCCACATCCTTGAATCTAATAAATGGGGGTACTTTATTATACCAGTATATACATGGAGGATGACTATTGATCTTCACAAGGAGGTGGGGGTGGCACATGATGAATGCAGAGAATTTATTCCTACCTCCTGCTTTTTAGTGTTATCTTGCTTGTTTAATCCTACCACCTTCCTTAAAATAATATGCTATCCCTGTTGTCAAGAACATGATTGTCAATTTTTCTTTGTTTTCCTAGAATAATATAATCATATATTAATCAAATTTTATTGGGTTTAAAGCCCCTACCTCCATGTGACATACTTTATTCAGCAATCTAAATTGCTGGGACTGGGCGTGCCCCTTGGGCAATGCCTGTGGGGAGGGTTGATGGGGTGGGTCTGCCCCCAAGGAAACATTGTCTTCACCTAGATAGGCACAGCAAGATAGAGCTAGGAGGAAGCTAGGAGTGGTGCTTTCCTCAATCTTTTTTGTTTATTTGTGGTATTACAGTTTGTGCTCGCAAATTATTACTTGTAACATCGACCACAACTCTAAAAGAATATCGTCTTCAGTTTGCCTTAGCTTAGTGCATCCATACTGTAAAGATTAATCAAAGATGTAAACCTCACATAAAGTATATTAGTATCCTGCTAGAACTTAAATGGAGAATACATATCAAGCACTTCACCATAATACCATTAGGCACAGAGATAATTAATTAATGTGCCTACAAGATATTCTGTAAATGGTGTAAATTGAATGAAACACTTCACATATTCATTTTACACAAAATAATATTCAACCACTTATTTAAGCGTACTCCAACAGCCAACCAAAGTACCCTGACTTCCCCAGATTCCATTTAGCTTGCTGGATGAGACCGAATGGAATGCAAACTCAGAAACTAATGATTTGCTACAAAACTAAACCACCCATTTATACTAATGATGTAAAAATAAATGTTATGAAGATTTTCTGTAATACATTTTTGTATAACCTCGATTTCCCAATCTGCTCTTTCTTTACAGACTGAACTTGGGTAGCCACTGTCTTGATAAAGGCATTAGGAACAGTCTCTGCATAGAGTTCGTTAGAATTCAGGACAAGCCGTATACTCTATAAATATTACATAATGAGTTCCAAAGACGAAAATAATACAAAATACTCTTTAATATAATTTCTTATTTCCTTGGCTCCTGACAAGACTAACTATTTCACAAGAAAATCACAAGTATCATTTCACCTCATCCTTCTTAAAAGGAATGATCGCACTCTGGCCATCATGAGGAGCTTGTCGTTTCAGGTAGAAACACTTTCTCTTCTCCATTGCTAACAACAGAGAAATGTTCTCCTTAATTGACTTTTGTTTCCTGTTGTAACTCCACAAATTTAAACGGGTTTGTTGTGGTTCAGTTTCGAGGGGCAACGGAACTATACCCTTTTTCACGTTCCTTTGCTATGGGATACGGGCCTAATCCTTTGTTAACATTTTTGTTATAAAGCAGTGGTTCTTAAAATTTTTAGTCACCCATATAAGAATCTGATGAAAGCTATGGATCCCCTTCCCCAGAAATATTCACGTAAACACATCTTAGTATGCAATGTGTATAATGTACTTTATTGATTGAGATTTGACTGTCTCACGCATGCATGAGATACACAAAGTATTATTAAACTTTCAAGTAAAATAGTAATGATAATAATGATAATACTAATACTAATAATAATGATGATGATGATGATAATAATAATAATAATAATAATAATAATAATAATAATAATAATAATAATAATAATAATATGATGATGATGATGATGATGATGATGATGATGATGATGATGATGATGATGATAATAATAATAATAATAATAATAATAATAATAATAATAATAATAATAAATAATATAATAATAATATAAATAAAGAAGAAGAAGAAGAAGAAAATGATAATAATAATATAAATGTAAATAACCAAGATCCTCACGGCCCATCCATAGACCTTCCGTTCTAAAGGATGGTATAATTATTGAAACTATCATCACTGACATCAACCTTATCGTTTCTTCTACATTTATTGTGATTCTTATGATTACTATTATTGGTATTAGCACTTTTATTGTTGTCATTATCATTGTTTTTTATCATTACTGTTAATATCATCATTATCATTATCATTTGTATTACCATCATCATCATCATCATTTTTTTATTATTATCATCATTACCATCATCATTATCATTATTATTATCATTACCGTCATCACTATCATTATTATTATCATTGTTATTATCATCGTTGTTATTATCATTATCATCGTTACTATTGCTATCATCATTCCTATCAATTGCTGCAACTGCGAGGGGACGCCTCATTTGGCCTGAGCTCATTTCAACATTTTAATGGATGATCGAAATGGATTACTATGATTTTTAGTTGAAACAAAAGAGGGTAAAAGTCGATTAACCGACATTTGGGTAGAATAACCAGAGTAGACTCGGCCAGGGTTGTTCAAAAAACGGATAAACGGAAACTAAAGGATAAAAATTTTCATCGTTCTCTTTTCTTTGCCACGTCTTTCTACATTTTTTTTCTTCCTGTTCTTGCATCTCCTCTTTGATTTAATTTGCTTTTGTACATAATAGTCTTTGGTTTGATCTCTGATTCTGAAGCAAGGGTATAAGCAATAAAATGATATTATTCACTCTTTCCATTCTTTCCTTCGACCAAAGACTTATTGAGATTCATAAACTGATTAGCACCATGAACCAGAAGGAACCTTTGAATGAAAATGGCGTGATGAAGACGTAGCACCGTTTTCGTTGACCAAAGGCCCTTTCATGTCAACAGATTTCTCTCAGTTTTTGCATCTTAATCTTGTGCTTGGAGGATCTATGCTACTAGATGGTTTTTACTGATAAATAAAATAAAGATCACATAATCTTACTATTTACAATATTGAAATATTCTTAAAATTAATGATATTCAATTAAAGCAATGTGATATATATGATGCTGAAACCTAACTTGCCTGTGTACATGGGCGTCATGGTTGTTCACTCAGCTTAATGGAAAGCAATTTCGAGAAAATAAATGGGGAGGTCCTTATCAAGCTGAACATTTTCTTACTTTCTGTTCTAAAAAAAAGAGAAAAAAAGAGAGAAAAATCCTGCAAGGGAAATCCGTTGGAGGGAGACTGCCCAGGGAACTGCAAGTGTTGCAAGTCCAAAGTTGAGTCATGCCTAGAAGCGTCGATAGCGCAAGCACTTATTATGCGATTTGCCTGGCTGGGTTGATTTCCTCAAGGTCTATATAAGTATAGGTCTCGTCACTAAGCGACTCAAATTCGTCCATCTCGCGCATGACGTAATCTGGAGACCGAGTCTGGGGGTTCGATGCTATCGTGTGGTCATTCTTTGATGTGAGGTAGAGCCGTAAGGATCTCTCCCTCTCTCCGTTTTCGCTCGCTTGACTGACCGGCGCGTGCAGAACCACAATACCCAGTGATTGGTTGCAGCTTATATATGTACATTTATGTTATTATTATGTTTATGTATTGCCATTATTATTATTATTATTATTATTATTATTATTATTATTATTATTATTATTATTATTAACATTATTATTGTTATTGTTGTATGATTTGTTTTATAATAAATTCGTCAAAAAAGATTTGGAGTTTACATATGCTATGTCTTTTTTTTACGTCTTTATTATGCCATTTCTAAGCTGCAACATGAAAATTACAAAACTAAATTGACGTAGAATATGTGATATAGGTCTATAAACAATCGCTGATAATCATCGCCTGTAAAATCTGTTCAATATGCAAATCGTTCAACGTGCCGACATCTAAAATTACTTAAGTATTAGCTCATTTACCACCGTTTTCTATTATCTCCCTCCCACCCTACCATGCTCTAATTCCCCCCGCCCCCCTTGCTCTCAGCTCTCTCCAAGTGACGTTATAGGCCTTATCACCCAAAGCTGCGCAGAACTCCGAAGTGACGAGACCTGTACTTATATAGACCTTGGATTTCCTTACTGTGTGTATTTACGGCAACACAGATACGCATCTATGACTGGGCTAGATGTGCTATAAGCCCAGGGGTAAGAAGGCGGGTTGGCGGAGTGGAGGGGCCCAATTTTGTTTCAAAGGACGGCGGGAAAAGATTTTATTTATATTCATTTGAACAAGAGTTTATGTAGTACATGTATATATATATATATATATATATATATATATATATATATATATATATATATATATATATATATATATATATATATATATATATATATATATATATATATGTATGTGTGTGTGTGTGTGTGTGTGTGTATACATAAACACACACACACACACATACTTATAAGTATATGTGTATATATGTATACATATATATATATATATATATATATATATATATATATATATATATATATATATATATTCTTTCTCTTTGCCTTTTCCCGCCTTTATGCGGGGTCGGCATTTTTGACCAACCTCCTCAACTCGGCCCAATCCCTCTACTCGTTTCCTTGCAAGTTTTTTTTTTTTTCTTTCTTTCTATTAGATCGCTCTTTATATTTTCCATCCAATTTCTTTTCGGCCTCCACTCTGCCCGTTTTCCATCTGGCGCAGTGGTAAGGTGCGGGTCTAGCAATCTTGCGGACCTGCGTTCAATCCCACGCCCGGCTATTCCTTGCACACAGGGGGAGATTTGGGCAAAATAAAACAGATGATATGTCACAGCAAAGAACATCAATTGTAAAAAATGGAATTAAAACTAAATCAAATCAATCAAAACAATCGTCTCTTCTCATTACGTGTCCGTATCACTGTAATCTTCTTTCCTGCACTTTCTTTGCAAACTTTTCAACCTTCACTATCCATCTAACCCTTTCGTTCCTAATCTCATTTAGTCTTGTTACTCCACACATCCACCTGAGCATCTTCATCTCCTCAACCTCAATCTTTCTTGTGACTTTTTCGTTGGCCAAGTCTCTGCACCATAAATCATAACCGGCCTAATAGTTGTTCTGTATAATTTGCCTTTATCCCAATACATCCATAATGAGGTAGAACAGATAAGGACTTAACCTGATGTAGACCAACTTGAAACTTTGAGGCCGAGATGCAGTCGGGCCAATCTTCAAGATTGCAAAGTTTCATTGGAATCGGTCGGGTAGAAGCAGAGGTACAGAGGGATCCAAAATCGCTTAGATTAAGGTACACATACAGTGGTACGACCATTTTTAGAAGCAGGATCCCACAAGAACGGAAAGAGATAGAGAGATGATAGAAAGGTCTTGTAAAGGACCGTGTTTTGTTGGGGGTAGGCATCTTGCCAAAATCGAGGTTTTTGTGTTTTTAAGCCCCCAAAAGCAGGTATATATGAATATGATATATGTAATATATATTCACACATATATATGCATGCTTATATATATATATATATATATATATATATATATATATATATATATATATATATATATATATATATATACCCAATAACAAAATAAGTGATTTTTTTTTCTCCAAAAACATGAAATTGTTTGGCTAGCCCAGGGACCCAACAATGTGGAGACAAAATATTCATTCCATTCTTGTGACACAAAACTCATTCCCTTATCTTTGGCAACTTTCTTGTACCATCGTGGCCCACAAACTTTCATTTGGTTAACAGTTCCAATACATCTAATTCTAGTATTAGTTGGAAAGTTTTGAATTCCAGCATTTTTCCGCACCCGCCCTCACATTCTCTCTTTCTCTTTGTCTCTCTCTCTCTCTTCCTCTACAATCCTAATTCTGAGTTATGGGTTGGGAAGGTGATCAAATAAGGCAGCTTTTAGTTACTGACTTCTTGCCTCATTATTTGCTGCCTACACTGGCATCCTTAAATTTAATTCGTTTTGAGTCGAAAGAACGGAACGACTGCACGCCCCGTGGACGAATCCAAAATATTTTAAATCTCCTCCACATTGTTTTTTGAAAAAAATATATGCATATTTGGGTGTGTGTGTTTCTGTGTCTATTTACGTATATATATGCATACATACGTACGTACATATACATATCACGTATGTCTCAGACAGGGATTCATATTTTCATTAATCACGAATCGTCTCGAGTGCTTATAAAATTCATATATAGAGTATCCCAGAATGTTTCTGTGGCTTCTTAGCAGTACATCAAATATAGGTTCACCCTATACCGGTTAAAATTTGAAGTCAGTCATGACAGCCAATGAAACGACATGGTAAGAATTATCATGTCCAAGTCATATAATGTGGTATTGACTTCTAGGCCCGGATTCACTAACATACGATCGTAACGCATTTACCAGTGGTCATTTACCATTGCATTCACCAGTGATAGCAAAGCAGGATTTAAAAAGAAATGGTAATTTGGATATGCTGAGTTGCAATCGTAAAGCGACTCATTCTAATGGTAGCCAACAGCGGGCTCTAGTAAAGCAATTCAACCAATCAGCGAGCGCCATAAATAATGTCTTAGGTACCTTCGGCCAATCACGTAACGTGTAAACAGAACTAAACACAGCGAAATTTTTATAATAATCGTCACAGTTGAAACACTATTTCAACAAATGTAGAAAATTATAAATATTTATTTGATTATATCCCTCGTATGGGATATTCATTTACTGTGTAGATAGGAACCAATACAAACAATGTTATATTAATATATTATTGTTTACCTCAAACCAAAGAGACAGGCCAAACAGCTTTTTATTTATATATTATTCATCATTGTTAAACAAAGAATCGGACCAAACAAACATTTTATTTATTCATCGCCATCTTTTGTCAATGGAAATATTTCAAGCTTATTCTTGCCCATGCACTTTGGAGCTTATTGTCAAAATGCCGACAGACACAGTTATTGCTACACTCGTTTAGCGTTGGTATTGCCAGTTTATGTATCAGCAAGGTAGTTTTTTTTTTTTTTTAGCATTTGTAATAATTATGTCAGAGAAGAGTTCACTTATTTTTCGGTTCCATGTATTTTTCTATAATGTAGGCCTATAATTTTACGAGAATTTGTGTGGATTTTATTCTTGCTAGTTTCATGTGAAATTTGCATTTCTTCAGTATATTCGCATTGTGATATCTGTTTGGCATCGTATTAGTTACATCGGGTGTAAACCCAAACCCAAAACTTTACTTAGATATTGATTTTTTGACAAGATAACACGTGATGACATCGTCTTCCCAGAAGTTACCAGTGAGTGCTTTGACCAATGGTAAAATTTACCATGGTAACTCCAATGGCAGGTTGTTAGTGAATACCACCGCTGTCTGTTTACCATGTAACTGTAGTTACCAGTAATTTTACCGTCGTAAGTGCGTTAGTGAATCCGGTTCCAGGGGGATGAAAATCATTCTGTACTTCTATGATTTAACAATAAAAGATATCAAAGGAAAGGCTGTTTACTTTAATTCGGTGTGTAATTATCCAGTTGTGTTACATTCAGAGTTTACATGAAGCGCCCTCGCGGTGGATATGTCAGGATAAGATTGTTTGAATCCGCGATAAACATTTGAAAGCTTAAACAACCCTGCGAAGCGAAGAGTAGTGTGTAAATAAACAAGTGTGAGTCGCAGTCCCCGATTCATATGCTTTTTCTTTAATATAATCTACCTTAATGTTTTACTTTTAATTAAAAATCGTAATAACGTATGGAGCTGTTAATTATTTTTCTTATCGTCTTGATTAAAAATCAAATAATGAAAAGTAGTTTCCGTTTTCAAAACTTTGTATGTCAGAAAAAAAAAAATCGTGATCCTTTGTTCACTCTGTTGTCCTTTTTATTGCCTCCTTCTTTCCTTCTTTCTCTTCACCTTTGATTTCAAATAGTGAAGGTAAATAAAAAATAAAACCACAAGTTCATGCTACAATTTTACCAAGCCAAAGATGCCAGATTAATAATTTTCAGCTTTTGTCATGTGAAAAAGGCAAATGATTATAATAAAACCAATGGAGTTTGGGAGTTGCCTTATCTTCTAAACTGTCGAGGTACCAGTTGACGCTCCCGTTGTTGCATCCGTTGTAGGACCTGTCGGAGCACTTGTTGTAGGTGCTTCTGTTGTTGGAGCATCCGTTGTCAGTTCGCCTGTTGGAGCATTTGTTGTAGGTGCTTCTGTTGTCGGTGTATCTGTTGAACCATCCGTTGTCAGAACACCTGTTGGAGCACTCGTCGGCGCATCTGTCGTTGGGGCATTTGATGTCGGTGTATCTGTTGTTGCAGCATTTGTTGTCGGTGTATCTGTTGTTGGAGCATTTGTTGTCGGTGTATCTGTTGTTGGTTTGTTGTCGGTGCATCTGTTGTTGGAGCATTTGTTGTCGGTGCATCTGTTGTTGGAGCATTTGTTGTCGGTTCATCTGTTTGGTGCTGTTGTTTTGTTGTAGGTGCATCTGTTGTTGGAGCATCCGTTGTCAGTTCGCCTGTTGGAGCATTTGTTGTAGGTGCATCTGTTGGAGCACTTGTTGCCGGTGCATCTGTTGTTGGAACACTTGTTGTCGGTGCATCTGTTGTTGGAGCATTTGTCGGTGTATCTGTTGGAGCATTTGTTGTCGGTGGATCTGTTGTCAGTGCATCTGTTGTTGGAACATTTGTTGTAGGTGCATCTGTTGTTAGAGCATTTGAGGTCGGTGCATCTGTTGATGCATCTCTTGTTGTAGTTGTTAATGAGACAGCTGTTGTTGCAGTTGTTGGAGCATCTGTTGATGGTCCATCGGTCGGTGTATTCTTTGAAGTCGCTATTGTTACAGAAGTTGGAGCCGCTGTTGATGGTGCAGATGTTGGAACATTTGTTGTTGGGACATCTGTTGCTGGAGAAGCTGGTGTCGGTGCGTCGGTTGTTAAAGCATTTGTTGCTGGTGCAGGTGTTGGAGCCGCTGTTGCTGGTGCAGGTGTTGGAGCCGCTGTTGATGGTGCAGGTGTTGGTGCCGCTGTTGATGGTGCAGGTGTTGGAACCGCTGTTGGAGCAACTGTTGGGGGTGCAGGTGTTGGTGCCGCTGTTGATGGTGCAGGTGTTGGGGCCGATGTTGATGGAGCAGGTGTTGGAGCAACTGTTGGTGGAGCTGCTGTTGGTGGCACAGGTGTTGGAGCAACTGTTGGTGGAGCTGGTGTTGGAGCCACTGTTGGCGGTGCAGGTGTTGGGGCCGAGGATGATGGAGCGGGTGTTGGAACAACTGTTGGTGGAGCTGCTGTTGGTGGTACAGGTGTTGGAGCAACTGTTGGTGGAGCTGGTGTTGGAGCCACTGTTGGCGGTGCAGGTGTTGGGGCTGAGGTTGATGGAGCGGGTGTTGGAACAACTGTTGGGGGAGCTGCTGTTGGTGGTACAGGTGTTGGAGAAAGTGTTGGAGGTTCCGTTGGTGGTGCAGGTGTTGGAGCTAACGTTGGAGCAAGTGTTGGCGGTGCAGGCGTTGGAGGAGCAGGTGTTGACGCCGCTGTAGGTGGTGCAACTGTTGGAGCCGCTGTTGATGGAGCAAGTGTTGGAGCTGCTGTCGGTGGTGCAGGCGTTGGAGCTGTGAATTATAACGGTTATTGCTTGTTATTTATAGCAATATTATTACAATAATTAATATTACAGTAATGATTTACTGGTTTCCTCATTGTTTTCGTTTTATCTTCTTTAACATAATCGATATATGATTTTTGTTGATGATGCTTATATCACTCTTTATGTAGACAAATATTAATGTCATTGCTCTATAACGATTCCTTAGTATAATTATCATTATCAGGCTTGTGAGTTGCATTTCCAAAGATGAGGATGGAAGGAAATATAATTTTCTTATATAATTTTAAGGACTGTACTATAAACAGACTCTGGCTCTAAAATTGTCCCATAATAAGTCTTACTTTGCCGAAGACTATGCTGAGCGATTTCGTCTGAAGACATTCCCGTCATATTTCAATTGTTTCTTACAAATTTATCGTTTCCCTACAATTTGATATGGAGCAATAAGTACATGGTTATGTTACGTTAAGTGGCAATTTTGTTTTACCAATTTTTGCATTTGCTATGATTTTGAATGTTAGAAATATAGTGTTTATATAAATGTATATTCTTCACTTTCACTGCTCTCTATTCGGTTGATGTTTGCGTCCCATAAGGTTAAAAATGGTCCTACGCGTGTGAGGTACCTCTACAAAAGTCTTACGTCCCGGGCGAGGATTCATGTCGATTCATTGACAAAATTGCGGAGTGAAAGAACTTTTTTCAGCAAAGAACAAATCTCGAAGTCTAGCCGTTGTTACCGTCTTTAAAGACCTAGGGATTTCGAAACTTTTGCCTCACCTTTCAATAAATATTTTCTGTATAGTAGGTATATTTGTTAGAATATGTGAAAAAACTTACCTGGCTTGCAACAGGCGCATTTCTTGCCCTTGCAACCACCTGCAATCACCCCGTGCTCGCAGTTCTTCTTGTAGGTGACGCATTCCCCTCCTGCATCTGTGCATTTCTTCTTTTCCCTGCATTTCTTGGCGCAACAAACACATTTTTTACCTTTGCAACCCCCGTCAATCTCACGCTGCTTGGAGCCACATTTCTTCTTGCAAGAGCCTTTGAATTTATCACATTTATCTTTATTTTTCGTGGCACATTCATCTGGCGAGAAAAAGACCGTGCATGCTATACATCGTGACTGTAAGTATTTTAATTACAACAGCATGTCGGTTAGATTATATAGAAAATATTACTTTGATCAGATGCATTATATTTGTGATACTTACTTTTTTTACAGCAAACACAAGGTTTCGATTTCTTGCAAAATATCTTTATCACACGTTTTGGGTTGCAATTTTCATCGCATTTCCCACCACGTTTTCTGCATTTCTTCTTCCTGTTCTTGCATTTCTTCCTCTTTGATTGAATCTTGTTATCGTTCTTGATAGTCTTCGGTTTGATCTCTGCTTCTGAAACTAAACGTAAGGGCGATAAGATGCTTTGCCCTGTCCCTTCTTTATGAAGGACACTAATAATCATCGACCAAGGATATATCGATACTCGTAAATTAACTAGCATCATTAGCCAGGCCTTTAATTATTAAGAGATGTCAAGAAGGCGGTAACTATAATAACTGTAATAATGGCAATGTCAAAGAGGTAGATGATTGTGATCATTAAGTTGCTAATATCATTATTCACTAAAGTAGAGATGCTGTCAAGGGAATGTCGTGTTTAAAATTTATATATATTTATGTATATGTATGTATGTACGTATATATAAAGTAATGCAAGGATGGGGATTAATAGGTGTCCAGCAAGTATATATATATATATATATATATATATATATATATATATATATATATATATATATATACTATATATATATATATATATATATATATATATATATATATATATATATATATATATATATATATATATATATATATATATATATATATATATATATATATATATATATATATATATATATATATATATATATATATATATATATATACATATATATATATATATATACATATATATATATATATATATATTATATATATATATATATATATATATATATATATATATATATATATACATGTGTGTTTGTATATGTGTGTGTGCGCGCGCGCACACACACACACACACACACACACACACACACACACACACACACACACATATATATATATATATATATATATATATATATATATATATATGTATGTATGTATATGTATATACATGTATATACATATATTATATATTATATATATATATATATATATATATATATATATATATACATATATTACATATATATATATATATATATATATATATATATATATATATATATATATATATATATATATATGTATGTATATATATATATATATATATATATATATATATATATATATATATATATATATATATATATATATATATATTAACATTTCAATCTCTTTTCCTTGGTTATATGCATCTGTTCGAAGCAAAATTATTGTTCTTTTCTCCAAAGGGACTTATTTGTGATTTAGACTCCTATCCTTTTATATTTCTGCCCATGAGCACTTAAATTTGTGATTCAACATAGTACAGTTGAGTTTATTTGTATCTCCTGAAATGCATCTTTTAGTAGCTTTGGGTGTAAGCTGCGACCAGGGGCCTCATTTCAGGGGCGAACGGGATAGCGGAGCGAAACGAATAAAAATTTAGAAAAACAACTATTCTATGGGTATTTTGAAGGAATTATCGTACCTATTTAGGTGTAATTCAGTAAAAACAAGAGTTTAAAGTTGGGTATAATCGGAAAAAGTCGTCACCAAAGATTCGATAGAAACTAACCTTACAGTCTTGAAAATATTTAAATAATGATCACTTTTCATTAAATAAACTTGTCTCGCAAATTAATAATAACAAAGTTATTTAAGTACCAAAATAAAAATAATATTAAGAGCTATTTGAAGCTATGAAATTCAATCTTCAAATTAGTCTCGCCATGGCTTCTGTGTGGGATAGGTGTCGTATCCAACCATACCAACTTATAAACAATTATTTTGAAGACGATGAGGCTAGCTTGAAACTATCACGTGAACACGGAGTGCTGCCCTCTGGAGTGGCCTGCGACCAACCGTCGCAACGGCGCGCTCTCGATGCCCGAGTCTGTCCGACGCTCTCTCCTGCTGTGAATGGGTGGAGGATTCTTTCTTTTCCTGGGCGGGGGTTGAGGGGCGGCAGACCCCCCCCCCCCCATGGGGGCTTGAAGACAATCAGACAATATAGTGACAATCGGTACCGTGATTACAGCAGTGGCAAATTTGGTCAGTATTCCCTAAGCGATCGTGTAAATCTCACCTCCCTATAATATAATTTTTTATTTATTTTGATAATTAAATAAAGTAGTAGGTCTAGGGGGGAAGCTGGGAAAGAAGTCTTGGGGGCGGCAGTGCCCACCCTACCCGACCCACCCAATCGACGCCTGTGGCAGCTACTCTTTTTCACCAAGAGGATGCCATGTTTGCGCGTCAGAGCGGCAGGTCGAGAGCCGAAATATGAAATTATAGAATAAAGGAGAATAAGGTAATGAATTAATTTGGATTTTTTCTTCTCTCTTCTCTACTGCAACTTAATGATATGTGTGCTTTTGATATTTTCTTAACTAATTCAATTGAACATAAATAGTGGTATATGCAAGACTCATGAGGAAACCACGTGTATGAGATGACACGCATTGCGTATTATGATAATGAATCAGATCAGTCAATAATAGTTATTGGTACGGTTTCCATTAAGAAAATGAGAAATTTAGGTTTGAAGATTTATATTGCTTATTTTATATCTATCGTGCACGGTAATGGGTCTACGTAACAGGGTAATTTATGGCATATAGTTGAGTAACTTTTATAAGTGATCAATGACTGATCATTTTACAATAAACGCGTTAATTTCTATTGCATAATATTTTGTAAAATGCTGCTTTTTCGTAACTTCAGAAACTGTTTTTTGCTTAATGTGTTAGGGTATGACTAATAACATGGCCTTATATTTTTATGCAACTATCAATATTAAACTTTTGACATTATATTACAGACATTTGCCTCTTTGCTATCTCCTCATGTAAAATGGTGTCACTTTTTAAGTATTTTGTTTATTGTACTGCTCGTTTCAGTTCTCCCGGTAATGAATGAAAATAATCATGTCTTTAAGCAACCGTGACCAAGCCTGCTGCGCCCTGTGAGTGACAATAACTGGAAAGCAAATCTCCGTCCTCATTTCTACTCTACGCTCATGTCCCCGGTTATTCTACCCCTAAAAACTTCGGTAATCGACTCTCATCCCCTCTTGTTCAAATAAAAAACACCATAACCTATTCCCACCATCGTTTGAAACAAATTTGTGTTCTTCCACCCCATCACGCTTTACTAGCTGCGTTGGGAACTCCTCGTCTTCTCGTCCAGGCAGAGCAGGCGAACGAGGCCGCGTTCGGAACCTTGCTGCCTAGAATGCAACAGCTCGAAAGTAAACATTCTCTTTTATCATACCGGTGTCTTTATTTTACAAGCAACATAGGTTTTGTAACTCCTTTGATGCACATTTAACTTTCCTGCAACTAACAAACACATAAATATTCTTTGATAACATCAAAGGGCCATGAAATTAACCATCTTGTGGTTGCCTGCAACTATCGATGTTTACACACAAATTCTATTGTGACGCCATCTTGTCCTACTCCCCCAGCTACGCAGGAGGGCGAGATGGACAACGTGTCCAGGACGAGAATGCAGAGGTTCCGAACGGTCAAAACATCTATTCCAACTTGTCTGGACGAGCAGGCGAGGAGTTCCGAATGCATCATTATAGTACGCTCGTTAGGCTGTACCCTCCCTCCTAAGAATGGCAGACACATATTTTACATTTAGGACAAGTCGCCCCAGTCAGAGATATGGGTGTATTTGCATGCACATGTGTCTGTGTCCTTTGGGGTACACACAGTATGTAAGTCAATTAAACCAGGTGAATCGCAAGACAAGTTCTTGTATTGCCGACGCTTCTAGGCATGACTCACCTTTGGACTTGCAACACTTGCAGTTCCCTGGGCAGTCCCCCTCCAACGGCTTTCCCTTGCAGGACTTGCGACACTTTCCTCCAGCATTGGTGCAATTGTCGCTGGCCTTACATCCTTCAGGGTTTCTGTGCTTCATGGATTTAGTTCCTTTCTCTCCTGTTTTTTTTTTTTCAAGAAAATGTTAATCTTAATAATGATCAGTCTGTTTTCTGTAAATTGCATTTCAATGAGTGAACAAACATGACGCCCATGTACACAAACAAGCTGGGCCCAAGTAATCACGAGCATCAGAAATATCACATTGCTTTAAATGAATGTCATTATCTTAAGTTTAATTCAATATTGTAAAATGTAGGATTATGTGATGTTTACACGACCTTTTTTATGTATCAGTAAAACCATCTAGTAGCATAGATCCTCCAAGCACAAGATTAAGATGAAAAAACTGACAGAAATCTGTTGACATGAAAGGGCCTTTGGTCAACGAAAGCGGTTGCTAAGTCCTCATCACGCCATATTCAATCATAGGTTTAATTGTACCTGGATAATGATTCTCATCAATTTACGTCTACACTGTAAGTCCTTAGTAGAATATTTTAGTGTTCTTCTCAAAGACTGGAAAAGGTGAAACATTGTTATGCTGCTCATTCTCTTGTTTCAGAATTAGTGGTCAAACTGATTACCGTGAACAATAGAAAATTCAAACAAAGAGGAGATATGGAAACAAGGAGAAAATGCAGAAAAACGTGATAGAGAAGCCTCCCCATGGCCACCCATGGAAACTGGATACCTTACAGTTCTAGACTAAACTGTGAGGGATCTCAGAGCGGCAGTAGGATTGTGAGTCTGTGCGCATAGGGTCTGGATGGTCATTTGTTTATAGTACACAGTGTTGGGCTAGGTATGCTCCCCTGAGGTACTCCAGCATACATAGAAATGGTGCCTGAATAGATTAAGGCTTTTAAATTTAATCTGTTGTTGTGAAGAAAATTGCAAAGTAATAATTTGGTGAGTCTTGGAAAGTTCAGTTTGGCGCACAGATTGTATTTCAGACCAGCATGCTAGATGGTTTCAAAGGCTCACTCAACATCTTTCGTTGTTTTTTATGTAGTTGATAATGAGGTTGAGTACGCCTTGCGTCGAGTGATGCAGGCGAACTATTTGAGAGGAGGTTGAGGCCCATGAGATACCACTTTAGTCATGTAATGATTATTTTTCGCATATTTCACGTTATGTTTCGAGTAGACTAATTAGGCTTTGAGTCTTTAGGTCTGTCTTTTTTGGTGCCATTGGAGTGTGAAGGCATCTAATTCAATCTTGAAGGGAGTGGGAAAATTGCTGGTAGCGAGAGAGGCACTGCCCATGTGAGTCAAAGCTTGTTTGAGATTAGGAAGGTGAACAAGAGTGTTATCCTAAACTGTGAGGAGCCTGAAGCCTAACGAGGAACCCTCATTATTTTCTGTTTAACTTTCTCACACGAGATAGGGGTATGAGTTGCCAGATGTTGTCCTATTGTGACAGATAACTGGCTCTAAGTTAGTGTCTGCCAGGTTCGCTTGACCAAGTATCAGTATCGGGAATTCTGTGAATGAACCTTTAATTACTTCACGAGATTTGAAACACATTATCATGAATGAAGTGGAAAAAGGGGAGAGATTCTACCTATAAGTTGATGAATTTTTTGCCAAAATTGGATTACAAACTCTATTTAGCTGTGCTCTTTGAACAGAATTGGTCTAATAATTTTGTGTCATTATTAATACTATCAGTGATATATCTTTTTAGGATAGACAATCCCATGAACCTATTTGAATTTAAAGTGACACGACTTCGAAAACAAGTTGGCAGATGTTTTGTCCCTTTCGATGGCCGCAACGCGAATTGGATTTTACACTTAGACCTAGGGATGGCAATCAGTATGGCTGTCATGCCCATAAAAATTAAAAAGAAAATTTTTATCACTTCATTTTCATTTACACGACTCCCACTCTGCCAAAACTGGTATGATTGTCTCTTTTCGTTAAGTATTGGTTGATGATGTGGAAGTCTTAAGTCTTTGATCTTTGAGTTTCCTTTGACATTCGTCCGAAACGGGGCCAGTTGCTTAGGTTTGGCAACTATCAAAGCTTCTAAGCATGACTCACCTTTGGACTTGCAACACTTGCAATTCCCTGGGCAGTCCCCCTCCAACGGCTTTCCCTTGCAGGACTTGCGACACTTTCCTCCAGCCTTGGTGCAACTGTCGCTGGCTGTGCAGGCGTCAGGTTTTCTGTGCTTCATCAATTTGGTACTTTTCTTTCCTATAATTTTTGGAAAGTAAGAATAATGCTCAGTTTGTTAATGAAACTTCTTTCTGACTCGTTCCGTACCATTTATTTAGGTTGATTAATCTTATCTTGTATGGTTCTCATTCACCCCTTCCAGCCAACAGGCTTATATGTCTAAGTGCAGATATGTATGTATGGTAACTAGGCATAGATGAGTGTGTATGCATATGGGTTCTGTGTTCTTGACTCACCTTTGGGCTTGCAACACTTGCAGTTCCCTGGGCAGTCCCCTCCAACGGCTTCCCTTGCAGGACTTGCGACACTTTCCTCCAGCCTTGGTGCAACTGTCGCTGGCTGTGCAGGCGTCAGGTTTTCTGTGCTTCATCAATTTGGTACTTTTCTTTCCTATAATTTTTGGAAAGTAAGAATAATGCTCAGTTTTGTTAATGA